GTTACGTCGAAAAGTGACATGTGTAGGGGTATGTGTTGTGTCAGGAACCATGTTGAGGTTAAGAGTGAGGAGGAAGTGATCCGAGGTGTGCAGTGGAGTAACCAGCACATGATCAGTGGAGCAGTGTCGTGTGTAAATAAGGTCAGGTTGCCTGATTTGTGAGTAGCTGTAGTTAACACTCGCTTGAGATCAAAAGCGGCAAGCAGAGTGTGGAAGTCTGCAAATGATTCGTGATACGCAATCCAATTGGAGCCCTTCGAAACAATCATTTTGCGACGCAACTGATTCTGAGTTTCGAAAAGCTCCATTTCACCCATCAATATACATGCTTTTTAAAATCATTACAAGCGATGTCGAAATTTGAAAATTAATGGGTCTTTCAATCGGAGTGGTTCCTCAATCGGTTTGTCTGTTCCTCCACTTTTCTCGTCTTCAGTCATGTTTACACGACACTGTCAGCACTACTACTGGCTTAGCTCGCTAGTTTTATTTTATGACATTAACTGAAATAAGCCAAGCACTGGGTTGTATTTAACCCAGCATTTTTTAGAGTGTAAAATAGGCCACCTATGTTACATCCAGGGTTAATTTATTCAAGAACAAATATTTTAAAATTGTACAGTTGTATGCTATACATTGTGTGCCAGAAATATAAATGAAGAGTTCATATGCAAGAGAACCTATTCATTGCCATTCAAGTGAAATGACTGAAGCTACACATAGGAGCCTAATAAAAATGCTAATTTTAGGAGAAAATTTCTAACGGCACTTAGTCTTTTGCATCTGAACTCTTCAAATGCTATTTGATGTTCTTAAAAGAAATAAAATTCAAGGTAAATATGAAGTCCAACAACAAATAACAACAAATATAGCCTATATTAAAAAAAAACATATTTCCATGATTGCGCTCCATCATGCACAAACATCATTAAGTGGTTTACGTTTAACAGTGACTCGATTGCTGATAAAACAAATTGTTTGTGAATAGAAAGTACAGAGAGTATGTCACCGAGGGTGGCGTATCGTGGTTGTTTCGGTTCGCTTGTGAATATTTTTACACTCCTAACAGATATATTGGATGAAGCCCATGTGCATTAAGTAGGCTATACAGATATACTCTAATAGTTAGATAATCAGATCGAGAGATATTCAGATAGATGTCTGTATACAGTAGATGGGTCGGTTGGTATTAGTTGTTTGATGATAATTGCAGTAGTGTGTTCAGACTTGTGAATTCTGCAGGTGTGTCTCTGCATCTGTTCTTGTGTAAAGTCTCTGAGCAAACTTCCTCGTAACTTGGTGAATATAAAACTTGTATCTGTCTTTATCTGTGTGTATATATGTGTGTGTGTGTGTGTGTGTGTGTACTGGTTTATATATCCTGGTGGGGACTTAAACCTGACTACACACAGACTCATGGGGACTCGTGTCACGGTGGGGACCTAAATTGTGGTCCCCTCGGGTACAAAAGCTTATGAATCATACAGAATTAAGTTTTTTGAAAATCTAAAAATGCAGAAAGTTTCCTGTAAGGGGTAGGTTTAGGGGTAGGGTTGGTGTAGGGCAACAGAATATACGGTCTGTACAGTAGAAAAACCATTACGCCTATGGAGAGTCCCCACAAGGATAGCAAACCAGACTGTGTGTGTGTGCGTGTGTATGTGAGAGTGTGTGTGAGTGTGTATGTAAGAGTGTGTGTACGTGTCTATTTGTGTGTGTGTGTGTGTGAGAGTGTGTGTGTGTGAGTGTGTACCTGTTTTTCTATTCTGGTGGGGACTTAAACCTGAATACACACAGACTCATGGGGAC